CAGAGTTTAGTCTTTACAGAAAAAGGATATTGTCAGACAAAAGTTGCAGAAGTTGTGCACCCGACTGTCCGGCTAAAAGTATAAGGGTGCTAACAAGCAGTACGACATTTGGTGTGTTTGCAAAACAAAAATCGTATGTTTGCTTTCAGGACAATGCTAGTATTAGATTAATTCTTTACAAGACGCAAATTTACGTCCATGCCTAATATCCTTGTTAGATTAAACCTTCAATTGGCAAATGCAATAAACGTATTATTCCAAGTGGAGTGGCTACGCCCCCGCCACACAGCCGCACATAACAAATAGCGCACGACAGACAAATAGTATGACATTTGACGTTCACGAAATGAAATCGTATGTTTGTTGATATGTTGAATTTGAATATTATGTCTAACTGTCGATGACTGATTAAATAAATAAGAAAAGACGTATACATTTGCCACTAACTGACTGCTTCTTTCTTTTCTTTTTTTTAACAAAACAAATACTGCTATGGTCTGCTTTTTATTGTATTGTTCGAGTTAGAATAAAGCTTGCTTCTCCCCCTCGGCACCAAATCAAGAACCCAAACAATATCTCGAGCAGCAACAACAATGAAAACCGTAACAACACAACAACAGCAAATTGTCGACCATATTAATATCGACATTTATTAACAAAACTAATTCATTGCTTCTTTTTTCTAAGATGCTACAAGTCAATAACTCAACGCCTAGTCTTCTTTCCTCCTTTAATCGTTATTTTAAAGCTCTCCCCCCTCTAATTCTTTTTATTGTTCATTAACAGTTTCTCTCAGCTACTTAACATGTTAAATAGTAAACGAAAGCGATAAACAGGTCACGTTTCAGCCATCACATGAATATATTAGTTAATTTAATATACCAATGTTAACATTTAAACTGCCTTTGAACTGTTTAATGTTAAAAATATTAGAAATAAAAACCGTTATATCTACAACTGCATCTACTTGTTCAAACAACCCCAACATCCACCCAACGACAAATACCAAACTAATACAGTCAACCTCCCCTATAGTCACACAGTCGGGACCGGAACAGCCTGTGACTGTATAGGAGGTGTGACTGACTGTAGGGGAGGTTGACTGTACAAATTTTGTGAAGCATATCTCGGTCCACACCATTAGTCTCATCACCTGATTGGCGTAATACTGTAATAAATGTGAGAATCTGTTTTTTTTCCCCAGTATTTGAACTCAATATGATTTCTTCATCTCGACGTTTGCCACCCAGAATACTAGCTAACTTTAAAATACAAAAACGCCTTTTCTCTTTAAATGCGTATTGTATGAAAGAAAAAAACAATGTGATTACTGTCAAAAAACCTACTAACTCATCCGATGACCCAGCAGAAACTCAGGGTTTAGTCACATCGATACATTCAGAAAATTTGATTATGATGCCCTTACCGGCGATAAAGCAAATATATGATGAACATATACAAAGATTAGAAGCAAAGAATGATGAACGTAAAGCAGAGACGAAGAAACTATATGATGAACATATACAAAGATTAGAAGCAAAGAATGATGAACATATACAAAGATTAGAAGCAAAGAATGATGAACATATACAAAGATTAGAAGCAAAGAATGATGAACGTGAAGCAGAGACGAAGAAACTATATGATGAACATATACAAAGATTAAGAGCAAATGATAAAGAGCATAAAGAAGAGATAGTTAAATTGACAGTGAAACAAAAGGATGATGAAGCCGATTTTATTGCACGTTCAGGAGAAGTGTTTAGACTTCGAAGAATCTGTAACATTAGATCAGCTTTGGAGTATATCCGTGGTTGGGTATGTTTTATGTGTCAAAAAATTTTTTTTTACATTTTATTAATTATGGTTTTTCCACAATAGGTTTCTAGCAAGAAAGGTGAAGATCCTCTGATGTATGAACCTGTTGATAAAGTATTAGAAAAGCTGAGCAATAATCAACGATTTAAAGAATGTCTGATAAACACGTGTGAGATGAATAATGTGAATGTAGAAGCTGTGAAGAAATGTATGGGTGGCCTGTATCATACGTCATCAAAAGGACTACATGGTTATGACAAAGTTGTGATTCATGAAAAAGGTTGGGTAGTAAATGAGATAATTGCCTTGGGTCTCATTTTCAAATATTTTGGTGTTCCTTTCGAATATATGAACGGGAATGATCACTTTGTGAAATTTCCATACAAGTTAGCACCACGTTGATAGTGTTATCCAGCTGTTTTAGTTTTTGTACTTGGATCGTGCAAAATACTCTTTTGCTGTTTATATATGAAAGCTTTCCATTTGTCAATTGTCAGGAATTTTTTAAATTAGTTTCTTGCTGTTGCTTTTTTTGCTTTATTAATTAATAAATAAAGTTTCAATCATCTTGTGAAGTAGAAACTACAATATAATCTTTATGATATAAAGCAGGAGACAATCACATGTGAGACCGTGCGGTCCTACACGTACGTGACCAGTTGCATTCAATTAATTGTGAGTTTCGAAATTGTATTTGCGCCATAATATTGGATTCGTTTAATTTTATCTGCCGAAATAACTGTATATTTTTATGACCCTTTGATTTTGACGCAGATTGATTCTAACGTCCCTCTCGTTCCTTGTAAAGATTAATCTCTTTTTTTTTGGGGGGGGGTGTCAAAAATGTCTATTTACATTGCAGTTACAACGCCGATAGAGCAAACGATGGCATACTTGTAATGAATTTCATTAACGGACATGTTCATAAACTCTTTCCATGAGCGGTATAATCATCCATTCCCTTCATGTCACTCGAATTCCGATCACTCGGTACGTCTCTCGCGACTTTGTGCGCCGCTGAGAGGATGATTCTGATTCTCTATAATCGGAAGCTTATTTTCTCGGTAACGAGGAACTGGAATTGCGACGACGGAAAGATTTAAAGGTTCATCTTGTTGATAAAAGGCTGGGAGAATGTCTTTTATCCCTACTAATATCATCATACACCCAACGTTACATTTTCTTCCTTCCTTTTCACGTCTACCAGTTCTCTCCGACTCGATCACAACATTTTCTGATGTCGCTGACGTCTCTTTGTCTTTCCAAATTTCCCTCTCGTTTTGCTCGATTATATTAATATTAATATAGTCAGAATGCATGCTGATTCATTTTATCGACAACCATCGAACCAATCTGTTTACATTTATGCCCGGCTAGTTATAGGGCAAAATTTGAGACCCGAAATTTAAGTGGCGCATAATAAGAAGCAAAAATTTCACTTGCTTTAAACGCGTATTTGTAATCAAACGCAATGCCAATAGAGAACGCACCCGAACACTGCCCTGTAAGTTCGTATATAGAGATGCGTTCCGCATCTATTATATTTTACACACCAATACATATTCTTCTTGCAGGGGCCAGAAACAGAAGAGGCAGGAAAGGCAGCCGTGTGCGCAGGCTGTCCGAATCAATCTATATGCGCTACTGCACCAAAGGGCCCTGATCCAGGTACGTGCTATACTTCAACGTAAATGCTTGGATAAAGTATTAAATTATGACCTTACGTGCAAATTATGAAAACGTTGGAGAAGATTACTTAGTCCGATACTCGATTATTAAAAAAGCGCCTTTAATCTACGGCCATCCCGCTGATAAACGAGCGAATGTCAAATGTGAAACACAAAATCTTAATTTTATCGGGAAAAGGTGGAGTAGGGAAATCAACTTTTACTTCTCAATTAGCATTCGCTTTTGCTGAGGATGAATACCCAGGTAAGTCTCTAACGTTCAGCGTTTGTCCATGCACATATTACTTTTTACTCTAACTCACTCATATTTCTCGCCTCCAATGCCAATTATCAAGGTCGGTGTAATGGATGATATAGACGTTTGTGGGCCATCAATACCGAAAATAATGGGCCTCGAGGGCGAACAGATTCATCAGTCGCTGTCTGGATGGTCTCCTGTGTATGTTTCGGATAATCTGGGTGTCATGTCAATTGGGTTCATGTTGCCTGATTCCGACGATGCTGTTATTTGGCGTGGGCCCAAGAAAAATGGTAAGGACGAAGAAATATTTGGGTGCAGAAGATTGTTTCTTGCGACCTATAATGCACTTGCAACATTTTGATTTCGTTTTGTATTCCATATTTCTCATCCTGATGTGTCACTAAATCGACAGGCTTAATAAAGCAGTTTGTCAAAGACGTCGATTGGGGGGACCTTGATCACCTCTTGATCGACACGCCACCAGGTACTTCCGATGAACATCTCTCTATTATACAATATCTGAAAGAAACTGGCATTTCTGGTGCTGTAATTGTCACAACACCTCAAGAAGTCGCATTGCAAGATGTGAGAAAGGAGATCGATTTTTGTCGTAAAGTAAAAGTACCGATAATCGGGGTAGTTGAAAACATGGCTGGATTCGTGTGTCCAAAGTGTGGGGTGAGTATACGTAATTTGAAAGAAGGATAACCTAAGGACCATTTCTTATACATTGTAATTGTTTTGCTCATCAAAACTATGAGACGATAGCTCTCATCATGTTTAGCGAATTTTATATGGACATAGGGAGATATAATACTCACAAGTAGAAATATTATATATTTGTTCACAGGGCAAATCAGTGATATTCGCTGCCACTACGGGAGGTGCTCGGAAAATGGCGGAAGATCTAGGAATACCGTTCCTTGGATCCATACCTTTAGATCCTCGAATTGGTGAGTTAATCTAATGGATACTCATCCGTCCTTCGTATGTTACTTATAGGTAAATCATGTGATATGGGCATTTCATTCCTCGATGAGTATCCAGAGTCTAAAGCGTATTTGTCTATTATCAAAGGTATGCCGATAAGTTGTTACTGAATATCAACCTGATTTCATCCTCGTATTAACGCAATGCATTATTTGCAGGGATCAAAATGCAGCTTAATTTGAAAGATGAGCAATAATTATTTATTAGTAGTATTACAAGAATGTACAATATCAAACTCGATAATATCAAATAGTACTAACATTGCGCAATAAATTATTTACGTTCAAGATGCAGATGATTAATCATTTTCATAAGATGGCAAATATGAAATTCAGTATGAGAATTCATATTTTCCACACGTGGCTTTCTTTTAGATTGCAACGTATCTCAGCACATCCTATAATACTATGCACAAAGTAATATCCATTTTGAGGCGTCAATTTCGGTCTCGTATGATAATGATACTAATACAAGAAATACGGTAAAATAACGCGTGTGCGAAATATGACGATATCAGTTAATGCAATATAATGATATCGTATACCACACAGACGAAATAGATTCCATTCTGTTTACAACAACCGAAGGATCCATCAACAAGATCTGAATCTCAATGTACCGTAGCTATTGGCATTGCTCTGCCATCATAACGGTCTCATTAATATTAATGAAAGAGCATTATTATTGTATTCGGTATTACTCTATTTGTCACGATTTCCAAATCGAGAATAAACTTAAAACATAGCATGTTTGTCAACAGTAACTATAAATTATTAGTAGATAATAATTCGGTTTATTATTCGATCCATTTGCAAACCCCTAAGCAAGCGAGTTTGTTTCAATATCTTTGACGCATTTGATTTAGCTTTGTCATCCGAAGCAAGACCGGATGCCGGGAATAACGTTCTCTAAAGACGTTCACAAATCCATATGGCAGACTTAAGTTTCACATTTATAATAGAATGAAGAAAGTTGGTGAAGAACAGAAAGTGACTTTTCGTTATAGCATCGAACAACAAATTGTTTTTATTGTAAAACGAAGCGAGCAGTATAAATATAAATAGTAGCACTAACATTAATATTAATATAAAATTGAAACGATCCAAGTGTGACTCCCAGGCAGTGCGTTTTAGATGCTAGCACGTCATTATAATGACTGACATGCTTATCAAAGCACACAGGTAGCATAGGTTGTAAAATCAGCAACTTCCTGTTTTTCATCATCCAAGTCGCACAAGAGTCTCTATTGTCACGTGTCGCGCACTTTTTTTTGTCACTAATAAAATATGATTATCAAAAAATATAAGTGTACAGTCGATGGATGTGATTCAAGCTTCTCCTATAGTCACCATTTGAAAAGGCATAATAGAGAGATACATGAACATTTAAAATTACACCTACTAAAATTGCTATTAATTTTAATGATTTTAGCGTGCTAAAAACCCGCAGACTGCTGGTGTTATTTTACCGAAATTGTGTCGTAAAAAACAAAATGCTCGTCATACAGTGAACCCTCCATTCAAGCACGCCCTCGGGAATGCGTCAGAGCGTGCTTGAATAGAGGGATGCATGAATAGAGGGTCAGCATTTTATTAGTTGCACGTTATTATAACAAAATTTAACTGCTGATTAAAAAACTCATTTATTGTCGTTTGTTTCATTACATTCATTGATTTTAAACTAATATAACGATCTATTGCATTAATATGCTTTAATAATTTTTTAGAATCTTCCTGCTGTTGTAGAAAAAAACGAACAATTTTTAAAATTGCTTGCAGCATTGCTGCAATTTACAATCGGTAATTCAACACTATCGTCAACTTCACTATCATCAGCGACATGCACATCTGACGGTTTTCTGTATATTAATATCTCAACAAGGTGTTCAATAAATTTGTCACTATTACTATCAGGCACTTCATAAACCTTTTTTTCCTCTAATTTAGAAGTCGATAAGATCTCTTCCCGCAACGCATATTAATATTAATGTAGCACGTATTAATATTGTCTTAGATTTGTTCTTTGTATAGACTGATCATGACTATTTGTTGTACAAATCACCTGAAATCACGGGCGTGCATAAATAGAGGGTGGAATTCATATAATGGGAAACGAAAAAAACCGTGCAATGCAAAATATGGAGGGTGTGCATCAATTCCCTAATTCCCGAGCTCGGGAATAAGCCATGGCGTGCATATATGGAGAGTGTGCATAAATGGAGGGTGCTTGAATGGAGGAGGGTTCACTGTAGTTCCATTTTTACACCCGATTTTTGCTATCGAATTTAACGTTTTTAGCGCTAAAAATCCGCAGACTGAAGGTGTATAAAAAAACACCCCACCAAAAAAAAGTCTGCTCGCGCTCCCTGCTGCTTAAGGTCCACGTTCTTTCTCCCTAATATGTATTATTTGACCAAACCAATTTCTTTCATTTAACAAATTATCACTCCAATTAACATCATTGTCCCAACCATTATCATAATCCCAACCACTGTCATCATCATCTCTCCAATTATCAACAGTCTGTATTTTTTTTGCAAACCTTCCATTATTGTCTCGTTCTTAACATTAATTTTTCTTCAAGATGGCGGGCCATTGAATAGGTTTAATCAAGATTATATAAAAATTTAAACCATAATAACTTAAAATTTTTAAAAAATACACCGATAAAAATGTTCAGTTTGTTTTAATTTATCATTCTATCGGTTTAGATTTGCAATAGGTTTTTTTGGTTTTAACTTATAAAGTTTGAAAGTCATGTGACATTAGTGCGGTTTATACAGTGGTGTTCAAAAAAAATGGCACAAATTTTACAAATAATTCATACATGTGTAACTCGGTCAATTTTCAAAATA